ACCGAAAATGGCTGCCCCTATGGAGGATCTTTGCTTAAATGTGAGTTTTCAGCCCATAGGAACACATTAATCACGTTTTAATGCGTTTCTATGGGCTTTTTATTTTCACTTAGCGATGTTATCACTTAGCAGCAATTTTTTCTGCACAGATTAACATTGGTTGTTGTGGGTTTTTTGGGCTTCTTGGCCGTGTTCTGAAGGTGGTTCTTCCTAACGTTTCGCCAGTCTCTGTGGCCGGAATCTTTAGAACACGGCCAAGAAGCCCAAAAAACCCACAACAACCATTAGATCCCGGCCGTGAAAGCCTTTGCGAATACAGATTAACATTGCTAAGCGAGGCACCACTGTACTCTTATGAAATAGAGGTGGAGGGCTGCTGGAAGCCAAAAGTTTGTTTTAAAGTGCTCCTAGCTATTAAGAGCAAGCAAAGAGGCAGGAGACAGACCTTATTATACAAGACTTACCTATTCCTTTTTTCCATTTTCTACCATAATGAAAGAAACAGTACTTATAACTACCCTCCAAATACTGTTAGATTACAATTTCTATCAGTCCCAAGCAGCATGTCCAATGAAACATGGGAATTGTAGTCTAATGGTACCTGGACAGTCAGAAGTTGCCCTTTGTTTCCCTTAAAAATAAGAAAAGACAGCAGCAAACCTATGGGATTTGTCTGAAGGGGGGGGAGATCAGCACTATAAAATATTTAATTTCTGAAGAAAGAGCCAAACTTCTGTTTTTTGGTTAAAGGAAATATGCTAATATCTTGCATCACCTTTTCATTCTACTTACTCCATAGTCACTAGCTAAAACACTGTAAGTTGTTAATACAACATCCTGTCTTGAAAGTATTGCTGGATCTTTCCTGCGCTCCGAACCATAGTAAACGTAAAGGTTCAGCTGAACATTTGGATCGACATGTTGTTCAAACTGGTCCTAAAATGAAAATAAACAAGAAAATTACAATTGATGGTGATATGCTAAGACTTCATATGATTTGTATGATTCTGACTTCTGAGCCCATACTTAATTACCTGGGAACAGATAAACGAACGCCTATACTTGGGTGGGCATGCAAAAAATTACATACAATGTATCTTCTAGCTATTTACACTACAGTTCTTGTAAGGTTCACTCAGCATAGCTGGTATTCCAGGAATACAACAGTTGCAAAAATATTCTGAAGGGAATCTATATACACCAGCATCTGAAACTGCCTACTCTGTTATAAATCTTGGTTAAGAAAACTTAATTCACATTACTATTCTGTTCTTCCCCATTTTAATATTTTCTTACAAAATAATTTCAAATTGGCAAATATTTAATATCTCTAATCTTTAATTTTCATATTAAATCCCCCCATAATTAATAAGTAATACAACAGCATCATACTATATCAATAGTAACATGTGTGATCAAGTCATTTCTGACCCTTTTCAGGGTTTTCTAAGTAGAGAATACTCAGCTGTGGCTTGCCATTCCCTTTTTCTGGAGACACCTTTGGACTGTGCAGCTTGCCTACCTGGGTGGCCTCTTCTCATGAGAGGCGCAGTGGGGAATCAAGCTCCCAACTTCTGGCTTCACAGCCAGATTCCTAAACCACTGAGTCATCCAGCCACGGTCACCGTACTATATAAGCTATGTCGAAATTAACCATGTTCTGTTACCAAGTGTATGTTTCTCCAAAATAACTCTACAATCATTTTCCCTGACCAAAAATTATTAGCCTATTCTTGACTTATTTTCTTCAGGTAGGGGTAATATTTATTAAAAATAAAAATGCTACAGTTAATCAGAAATCTTTTGCTTGGCCACAGATATTCAAAATCAGATACTGACAAACCCTTCCTTTCTTGAGATCTTTCTAAAGCATTTCATTATAAAGCATATTGGAAGTATAAAACAAAACTGTTTTTATCTGTATATTTGAAGCCTAGCTTTGATAGTACAGGTATGTATCAGATATAAAAGTTATATGTGCCTTAATTACAGCTACTATAGGGAGGAAGGCATCAGCCTAAACTTTTCAGAATGGTTGACAAGTTGCCTTCATTTACCAGACAAATGCTAAAGTTAAATTTCGCTTGATCAATTGTTCAACAAACTTGATTATAAGTCCATAAAGAAGCATTATCTGGCCATTAAATGCAGACCAACAGATGAGGGCCCTGATAGATGGCAAGTCAGAAGTTTAACCATTGGATTTAATCCAGTCTGATGCTGGATGAGAACACAAAGACAAGAGCTGGTAACAGGGGCAACAGAGCAAGAAGCATGTCCTCCCGTTCAAAGTACTGGAAATGGAGAACACGACTGAGGAAAGAAGTCATGCTATGTAGCTGTAGCAAATCTTCTAGCAAGAAGCAACACCCAGTATCAGAAAGCATCAAGCAACCTCTGACTCAAATGAACTTGAGCCAGTAGTCACTGAAACATGTGATTCATCCTAGAAGAATGAACTTAAGGCAGAGGAGAACTGCTGTACATTTATTTAGCTAACCATACGAGCTTCTTTATCGTAGTTGTACTCAACCCAGGCCACAAAAAACGAGTTTGCAAAAGGTTTATTTCTTGGAGACACTGACCAAAACTGTAGTGTGTAAGATCTGGGAAATTTAACAAATAATGTAGTAGACGGTTGTATAAATGAAAGTCTGAAAGTTTTCAGAGGACAGGAAGGTGTATTTTATGGACCTTTGCTTTCAACCATGGTTTTCTCTGGTCCAGCAATTCACAGGAAATACAACTGACACAGATTGACCCGAATTAATGACAAGCAAATTATCCTTTCATCATTTTCTTCTTCTGCATGCAAGTAGAAAAATTACTTCAGTAATTTTCAGTGCTTGCTTGGTTGCAGGACTGTAGAACAATCCCTAAATAAGGTGGTAAAAGCTTTAGTAAAACTGAAGGAATGGGGACTTGACCTACAAATGAAAGAGATAAATATGAACTGCTTAAAGCAGGAAGGTGCAATGTTCCAAACAATTTACAAGATTTCATGTGTAACTCAAGGGCCTGAATCCTGTTGCTCATCTAAGTAATCATATAAGTGCAATCTCACAAGCAGCAGGATGTATTTAATTATCTGTCTCTTATGGAACCTGACATCTCAACTGTGCAATAAGGTACACCATGGACAGCTTGCAAACTGTTGTACTGTCTATGTGAAAGAGCTTTGAGATGGTGGGAAGGTTGATTACAGTATGCATCAATATTCCTCTTAGCCTGGTGCTTAGATTAATGGTTGAAAAGTGGCAGACACCAGGGGTTACTTAAAGGTCAGCTAACAGAGACCCAACTAGTAGGAACTGGTACAAACCAGCCTTGACTAATTTTGTGGCCAGAGACCACTTGGGAAAGTATCAGTTGCTTATCCCAGATGTTTTGAGGTGAGAAGTTCAAGGATAAGAAATAGCCATGCTAAACAGCTCTGGAATGTGCTAATCCTTTGATGTGTGATTCTGTTATCATTTTGCTCAATAATGAGAGGCTCTGTTATCAATTTACCACTTAGTGAACAGTTAACATTGAGAAAGTCACCAGCACTTAGATATGCTTAATGAACAGATGCACCTACTACTACAGTGTGAAAAGGAGCTGAGACGCCCTGGATCAACAAGCTTCAATAAAGCCTTAGGTCCGAAAGGTGCTACTACCAATTCCTGGTACATCATCATTCTTCAGGGGCTCCCACCAAGCAAAAGAGACATAAGATTTCACTCTATTTTACTGCTTATACTTTCTGCACTAGTGTCTTTTTAATTAAGCTGTAGAACTTTGGTATAATCCAAAACATCCTTGTCGTCTCTGACAAGACCATTGTGAAAATTGTGTGCACAAAGTACCCTTAGTTGCATGGCTTCTATTTTTCTTTCTTTCTTTTTCAATAAAATTTGGCCAAGGTTTCCATAACATTCTTGTTAAAAAGAAGAAAGCTCTATTTCATTCGAGAGAGAGAGAGAGACCTGGTTCCTTTCCTGAGAGACTAACATACTAACAAATATTAGAAGGGACAACTGTTTGAATTTCAAACCTACAATCCAGTTACTGAGGACAGAAAGTGGACAAACGATCAATGTTGCTCTAAGAGTTTCATCAGCTTCATTTTTCTTGTCCTTTACATCAGCACCACCTTGGAGGGAAAGAAAACAAAGTTAATAGTGTAAGGGCACTATGATATTTCCATGTAGTCCCTTATAAAATTATTCAGTCAAACGCACTTTTTTAATTACTACTACTACTAACATGGAACAAAAATTCATTATTTCCATAGTTTCACTTATCAATATTTCACATGTCATTCCCCCCAACCTTTCAGATATATAAGTAGTATAATGTATAGCATTTCAATCTGAGCCTATCTATAAGAAAAGTATAATAATTTTGATATCTGAATACCTTTTTTCTTTGCTTTTTTTGAAGAAACACCTTGTTCCCCAAGAGCAGAGGCAAACGCTTTATCTTCCTGAATATCAGAAGCAGCTGTGAAGAAAATATGCTTTAGAACAAGAATTTCTCATTTTTTAAAAAAATTCCACTTGATTTTGCTCAACTAGATAATTTAAACACAATTATTTTGAGAAACTGCACAGAGTTAAGCCAGCAACAGCAGAATGTCCACATATGCTATCTGAATGACCATTGCATTTTTGCAATAAGTAAATAAAAATGGGTCAAGATGCTGATTACAGCTGGTGGAACAAACAGTCCCACCACTATACATAAGATTGCTCACTGGAGCCACTGCACAAGCACTGACTGCCACGACAAAAGACAACCATTTGCATTACAGTCTGTTGTACAAGTGCTACAACACCACTGGATGCTGGCCATAAGAACTGCAGTTCACACAAAACATGATTTATAGATAAATAATATACCTAGTTTAAAGGCAGCCTGGATTCTACTGTATTGGGGGTTTGCTGGGAGCAGAAGTGTTCTAGCTGAGGTTGTTGTTGTTTAGTTGTTAAGTCATGTCCGACTCTTTGTGACCACATGGACCAGAGCACGCCAGGCCCTCCTATCTTCGATTGCTTCCCGGAGTTGGATCAAATTCATGTTGGTAGCTTCATGACACTGTCCAGTCATTTCGTCCTCTGTCGTCCCCTGCTCCTCTTGCCTCCACTCTTTCCTAACATCAGGGTCTTTTCCAGGGAATCTTCTCTTCTCATCAGATGGCCAAAGTATTGGAGCCTCAGTTTCAGGATCTGTCCTTCCAGTGAGCACTTAGGGTTGTTTTCCTTCAAAATGGATAGGGTTGTTCTCTTTGCAGTCCAGGGGACTCTCAAGAGTCTCCTCCAGCACCACAATTCAAAAGCATCAATTCTTCAGCGGTCACCCTTCTTTATGGTCTCACTTCCAAACAACACTACTGGAAAAACCATAGCTTTGACTATGCAGACCTTTGTCAGCAAGGCGATGTCTCTGCTTTTTAAGATGCTGTCTAGGGTTCTCATTGCTTTCCTCCCAAGAAGCAGGTGTCTTTTAATTTCGTGGCTGCTGTCACCATCTGCAGTGATCATGGAGCCCAAAGTAAAAACTGTCATTGCCTCCATATCTTCCCCTTTGATGTGCTAGGATGTGATGGGGGAAGTGGCCATGATCTTAGTTTTTTTGATGTAGTTTCAGACCATTTTTGGGCTCTCCTCTTTCATCCTCACTAAGAGGTTCTTTAATTTCTCCTCACTTTCTGCCATCAGAGTGGTATCATCTGCATATCTGAGGTTATTGATATTTCTTCCAGCAATCTTAATTGCAACTTGGGATTCATCCAGTCTTGCCTTTCACATGATGTATTCTGCATGTAAGTTAAATGAGCAGAGGACAATATACAGCCTTGTTGTACTCCTTTCCCAATTTTGAACCAATCAGTTGTTCCATATCCAGTTCTAACTGTTGCTTCCTGTCCCACATATACATTTCTCAGGAGATAGATAACATGGTCAGGCACCTCCATTTCTTTAAGGACTTGTGGTCCATACAGTCAAAGGCTTTTGCGTAATCAATGAATCAGAAGTAGATGTTTTTCTGGAACTCTCTGTCTTTCTCCATAATCCAGCGCATGTTAGCAATTTGGTCTCTAGTTCCTCTGCGCCTTCGAAATCCAGCTTGTACTTTTGGGAGTTCTCGGTCCACATATTGCTGAAGCCTACCTTGTAGGATTTTGAGCATAATCTTGCTAGCGTGTGAAATGAGTGCAACTGTATGGTAGTTGGAGCATCCTTTGGCACTGCCCTTCTTTGGGATTGGGATGTAAACTGATCTTTTCCAATCCTCTGGCCGCTGCTGAGTTTTCCAAACTGCTGGCATATGGAGTGTAGCATTTTAACAGCATCATCTTTTAAGATTTTAAATAGTCCCCCTGGAATGCCCAGGTAACTCTTTATAAAAAAGAAATTAACAAGTCTTTCAAGAGAAATGTCTAATAGTAAAATTATCTATATTTGCTTACATTATTGTAATTCTACAACATTAATGTAGAATGCTCAAATGCTCTTTAGGTACCATTATTCAAGTGAGAGGAAAAGAACTCTTATTATGGTATTAAATATGTCATACCTTTTCTTCTTTTTCTTGTAGCTGTACCTGTTTTTTTCACTTTACCTAAATGAACAGTAAAAGTGATAATATAGTATTAATATAGTAAACAAATAAAATAGTAAATAAATAGTATCACTAAAAATACAATGTAACTCACTTTTCATGTCTTGTGTTTTTTCATCTTCAGCTTCTGAGTCACTGCTTACTGTATACTTTGGCTTTTTTCCTGTCGCTCTATAGCATTTTAGAATAACAGTAAGTAACAGAATATTCTAAACGCTCTTACCTGATCATCTATACTGGTATTTCATTTTTACAGCTTACGAACTAGTAATTTTTTAAGATACAGTATATGTCTACAGCAATCTTGCAACAGTTAGCTCAGAACAGAGGTAACACTACAAGTTGCTTTAGACATCTGTTTTTGTCAAGAAAAAAAGCCTCCCTTCATTCTCATGTGACACAGTCTTTCCCAACATCACTGGGCTAAGAAAAAATAATTCATGAAGACTTTGCAGTGAAAGAACATAATAAAACCTAGTCATCTTCAGCAAAAAAATTAGAGTGCACTTCAAAATAGATCGCAGTCAAAATTATCATAGTGCTCTCTTTGATAACATTACTATATTGTCCATAATGTTTAGTAGAGAAATAAGGGAAGAAGTTACAAAGTGAAAAATGCTCTTGAGAGACTCTCTTGGATTAATTTCTTACTTTCAGTAAGAAAACACCTCCACTTAATAAACAGTTACCACCAAAACAGTGTAATTTTTATCACAATTGTGTTTTATATTCTAAAAAGGTATTTTGGAAAGAACTGAATCTCCAATCACAGGTACTTCCCCTTATAAAACTTTTCCCCACCAAGTAATTTAGGATTCATGTGTTACGTGAGATCAAGTCAAAATCATCACCCTATGAGCCTAATAGGGTTTCTAAGGTGAGATACTGTATTTGAGATGCATTACCAGTTCCACCACCCACCTATTCCTTCTCAGTGCATTTCCATAGCTAAGTGGAGATTCAAAGCCAAAATCTACTTAGTCCATCACTCCGTCCACTACACCACACTGAATATCCATTGGGTACATGATCTATCAAGTCCACACCTGATCTATTAGAATGGATTGAAAGTTTCTACCTTTTTCGACAGGGTCTGGATGGCTGAGACAAAACAGAGTCACCTTCCTCCTTTGTATCAGAAGCATTCAGCTGCAGGCTACATTTGGCTACTTCACAAAGAAAAAGCTTGTCTTAGAAATTGAACTGCTTCAGAACAACTAGAATAGTTAACATTAATAACAACTTTCCAAATTAATCTATTGGGATGACTCCGGACTGAGTCCCACTCTAGTCACATTACAGTAAGCAACCGGTAAAGATAGTCATGTCCAACTTGCTCCACAAATTTCAGTGGGCCTAAACCTGGATTTATTTAGCCTGGATCCAACCCAGTGAAGTCTGTATTGTACCTGGATTTGTAATAAATTGCCTGTACCCAGAATTCAGAACAGTACATACTTTATTGAAAGAACCTGGTATGTTTAACCTTGAGAAAAGACAACTTGAGGGGAGATATGATAGCAGTCTTAAAATACTTGAAAGGCTGTCATACAAGGAGGAGCAAATCTATTTTCCACCATTCCAGAGTGCAGGACACCTATCAATAGGCTCAAGTTACAGGAAGCCAGATTTTGGCTGAATATAAGGAAAAACTTCCTAACTGTTACAGCCGTACAAGAATTGTGTCAAAAACCTAGGGAGGTGGTGAATGCTCCGATACTGGAGGCATTCCAGAGGATGTTAGACAGCCATCAGTCAAATATATTTTGATCTGGACTTCTGCACTGCTCAGAAGGTTGGACTCGAAAGTCTTATAAGCCCCTTCCAACTCCATTCTTTTGTGATTCTATGAACTTAATTACCTTGTAAGTCAGTTTTCACAGCAGCCACACCTTTCTAAAAGAAGAACAACACATAAATTGTACCTAAAGCAATGAGACTTAAGTATTGAATAAAAGAAGTAATAGGCCTTTAAGACCAATCTGAAAACATGGCTATATACAGGCAGGCCTTCCCTACAGCCATCACCTAACCTATCTTTCCTTTTTCCATCTTGATTCTGCTGTTAATTTGGGTCTTATTCTTAATACATTTATACTTTCAGAGTTTATTTTTTATATTTTGTGTAAACCGCCCAGAGTAGACACATTCTAGATGGGTGGTACAGTGGTGCCTCACATAACGATCGCTCCGTTTAACGATGAAATCGCTTTGCGATGGACTTTTTGCCATCGCAAGAGCGATCATTTTGCAATGGCCCCTATGGGGAAAATTCACTTTGCGATGATCGCGGGGGAGCAGTTCCCCACGATCATCGCAAAGGCCCCGCTGGTCAGCTGTTCCAAAAAACGGGCTTTGCGCTACTCGCGGGGAAGCACTTCCCCGGGAGCAGCCCAAAGGCTCGCCTTTTGGAACCGCTGATGGGCGGGCCTTTGGGCTGCTCGCAGGGAAGCGCTTCTCTGGGAGCAGCCCAAAAGTCCGCTC